ACTCTAAGAATGGTCAGGTTGGCAGAAGAAAATAAAGTGGAGCTCTTGTTGATCACGGTCAGATCCAGATATTCGTGTTGCTGCTGTAGTAGCCTTTGACAGTAATTCATAGATCCTCTTCATGGCTCTAGTGTTTTTCATTTTTTCATGCGGAAATTTTGTTTTCTTAAAAAAAAGTAGCATACGGATAAATAAACTTAGCACATAGTGATAAGATATCAATCAAATAAAGTTTAGACAAATATTAAGTAATTGCCAACTCTAATTAGTATAAAGCTTTTTGGAAAGAACTCAAAAATAAATCACGCGGGTTTTATCTCTTATGCTTGAACAAATAATATCATTAGAACGTTGGACATGAACTTGAAAAGCCAAACACATAGGGATTTGTTATTCATGAGAAGCAAAGACAAAACACATGCAGATTGAGCCAAGTTTTATTTTTGTGTAGTTTCAATGCAAGGAGGCATAAAAGTTATACTAAGGTTTCTCTAGAATGCAATCAGAATTAAAAATCGATTACACAAGGACCTCAGCAGCACGAGTTACACTCAAGTCAGTTCCTTTATCAGAATGTGCGAGTTCTTAATTCCTGCATTATAAAGAGATGCATTCTTACTCTATCAATGGGAAAATAACAAAGATCAATGAGCAACAAAAAAAAAACATTACATGATGTTGCAGATATTTTTTTTCAAAAAATAGAGATACTCGTAAAAACCTGAGAAGGTCAAGAGTGAAGACAAGCAAATCTTAGCAAAATAGTAATATTTTTGCCATACAATGTTTTATATCCTACCAAACTATGTATAGTTAATTAATGGCAAAATATTCACCTAAGCAGTCCCAGATGAAGCAGACCAAACAGAGTAGACGGTAAAGTAAAAGACAAAGGTAAGAGACAAAATACTTTTAATTAAATGTAAAAAAATACAATATAATACAAGGTCTTTGGGAAGTGATATTTTAGCAAATTAAGTAAAAAAAAAAAAGAAATGTCATATGACTTATATCCCACCATATTACTCTAAAAAAACTTAAAATTTGTTATGTTATCAATTATTTATATATAAGACATTTTATCAATCATTTAACATTTTGTGGTTGATGTAAAATAGTTGAAGTGAAACAATTACCTGAACTTGTTTACTTGTAAAGGGAACATATTGTGGTCCTGACGGAAGCAAGCAATGCATAGCCAAAATTAAAGATAGCTACTACTCTCTTTGCACTTGTACAAATGATGAAAGTGGACACAGATGTATTTGTTTTCATGTTTGACTTTCCTTGATATAATTTACTGTATCTCCATAACCAAAATCTACCCTAATAAAAGGGGTTTTAAGATTCTTGGAGATGTCCACATCAACTTTCAAAACTTTGAGAAGAGAACCCACATCAACAGTTTGATATGAACAAGAAATATAGAAGTAGAATATGATTTGTATTGAATGAGAAAAGTATATCTGTGATCAATACAAGATATTAGCAATGCATCTACAGAGACGATGATCTCATAGCAATCACCGACCTAAGCTCATATCGCTTACAAACTCAGAAAATGCATAACTAACTTTGCTTATGAGTAGGAAAATCTTTCCATTGCACCAAGACTTCCAACCCACCAGTTTCATTGTAACGAGTTGCCACAATCTCCTCAGGAACTCCCAACACTTCCTCCTCTGCAGTCATATTCAACGGTAAAGGATAAACCGTAATGTCTTTACCCACCACTGCTTTCAGTTGAGACACATGAAAAACAAGGTGGATTTTCGAACCATCCGGCAATCTCAACCTATATGCTGCCTTGCCAATCCTGTCGAGAATCTCAAATGGCCTGTAAACCTTGCTTAAAGTTTGTGGTTAATTAGCACGATACGCCACAGACTGTTGTCTATAAGGTCTGAGCGTCAAATAAACCCATGACCCAACAGTGAACTTGATAACCCGACAGTGTTAATCAGCACTCTCCTTCATCCTCTATCGTGCTTTCAACAAGTGTTGTTTAATCTCATCCAGCATTGCATCACGTTCCCTCAACTGCGACTCCAAATCAAAGTTATTAGTAGACCCGTTCTCAAACCTCACCAACGGCGGAGGCTTGCGACCATACACAACTTTGAAGGGTGTGGCTTGCAACAACAAGTGAAACGTGGTATTATACCACAGTTCAGCCCATGAAAGAAACTTGAACCATGTTCTTGGATGAGTAGAAGCCAGACATCGCAAGTAAGTCTCTAAACACCAATTAAGCACCTCTGTCTGTCCATCTGTTTGTGGATGGAAAACTGTGCTATATTTGAGTTTAGTGCCAGCCAACTTAAAACTCTCACGCCAGAAAAAAACTCAGAAATATTTTGTCTCTATCCGATACTATGGATTGAAGAAATCCATGAAGCCTGACAATCTCCGAAAGGAATTTCTGAGCTACATCTGTTGCGGTGAACAAATGTTTCAGGGCAATAAAATGTCCATATTTGCTCAGTCTACCCACCACTACAAATATCACATTGAAACCATAGGAAACAGGAAGACCTTCTATAAAATCCATGGATATGTCCTCCCATATCTTTGATGGTAATGGTAAATATTAAAGAAGACCAGCTGGTGAAAGGGTGGAATATTTGTGAGTTTGACAAACTGCACATTCAGCAACATACTTCGGCACCTGTTTCTGAATATTCTCCCAGTGAAAAGATTGCTGAATCTTCTTCATTGTCTTAAAAACACCCGAGTGTCCTCCAAGCTTTCCATTATTATATTCAGTTAAAATCAGTGGGATAAAGGAAGAGTCCTTCGGTATCACCAGTATTCCTTTATACCAAAGTTTCTCCTCTTGCACCGAATAACCAGGCTTAGTCATATTGCCTTCCTGGATTGATTTGATAATCTTTTGAATGGAGTCATTCTCTGCAATTTCATGATATATATCCTGTAACTGCAGAACAGAAGGAACAGTCAAAGCAAACAAAGCGGAATGAACGATTGCAGATGCCAAGTTGATTCGAGATAAGCCATCTGCAGGTTTGTTTTCAACTCCTGCTTTATAGACGATATCAAAATCATAGCCTAGTAACTTGGTTAGCCAGCGCTGATATTCCATATTCACTTCCCTTTGTTCTAGTAAAAATTTTAAGCTCTTCTGATCAGTATGTACCACAAATTTTCTGCCAATCAAGTAGTGTTTCCACTTCTGAACAGCTAAAACAATAGCCATGAATTCACGCTCATAAGCTGATTTCAGTTGCTCTCGAGGTGTAAATCCATGACTAAAGTAAACAGTGGGCCTTTGAGATTGCATTAGCACAGCACCAAGTCCGAACCCTGAAGCATCAGTCTCCAACACAAACACCTCATTAAAATTTGGCAATACCAGAACTGGAGTCGTGACCATAGCTTGTTTTAATGTTTCAAAAGCCGCCTGAGATGTATCCGACCATTCAAAACCATCCTTCTTCAACAACTCTGTTAGAATTTTTGCCAATACACCATACCCTCTTACAAAACGCCGATAATAGCCTGTCAAACCCAGAAACCCTCTCAAATCCTTAGCATTTCTAGGTGTTGGCCATTTTTGCATAGTCTCAGTATTCACCGGATCAGTTGCTACACCTGAGAAAGATATAATATGCCCTAAGTAATCCACTTGAGCCTGGCAAAATATGCATTTCTTCTGATTAGCAAACAATTGATGATCAACAAAAACTTTCAACACAACTGATAAATGCTTAATTAAGATGTTCTTCCAAGGATGAGCTGTAGATGAGTATATCATCAAAGAAGACCAAAACAAACTTTCTTAAGAACTGTTTAAAGATCTCATTCATCAACGCCTGAAATGTCGCTGGAGCATTAGTAAGCCCAAAAAGCATTACTAAAAACTCATAATGACCTTCATGAGTTCTAAAATCAGTCTTTTCTATGTCCATTTCCACCATTCTGATTTGATGATACCCAGACCTAAGATCCAACTTTAAAAAAATTGTTGCACCATTGAGCTCACCCAATAGTTGATCGATCATAGGTATTGGATATTTATCTGGAACTGTTGCTCGGTTTAAAGCTCTGTAATCAACACATAACCGCCAACTCTTGTCCTTTTTTTCATATTGCTTCCACTTCTCTCCTTTAGGTGTTTTCTCTCTCGTAACTCTTTGGAGTGTGCACACGATGGTCAAAACTAAAGAAGCAATGTTGATTTTCTCTCTCCTCTAAAGTGCGATTCTCGGCCGACCAAGGTGACCTCTTTTTCTACCATCGTCCGGCGTCTCTCCAGACGTCGGAACCTCCTCCCCTCCTCTTTTTCAAGCCCTCCTCTCCTCATGGGGAAGAAAAAACCCAAAATCCAATCCCCTCCCAAGATTTCCGTTAAGGGATCTCTGCCTCCTCTTTCGTCCATCTCGCCAGATCTTCAGCGCCAGACTCCACCGTTGGACCCTGCTGCTCCCCAGATTGTCCTCGCCGCAGATTCCTTCCCCGGTGTGGTTACCCTCCCCCCCCCCCGTTGCAAGATTCGTCTCTAGAGTCTCCTCTGCCGCTCTCTGATGTAGATTCATCTGCTAGGTTATTGATTTCAGCAGTGAATTCTACATCGGTTCCGAGTATTGATACTGCAAAAGCTGTGAATACAGTCGACCCAGAGGTTATTGTCTCCTTTGAGAGCTCCATGGAGATGACTAGCTCTCCCCCAGAAATTGAATCTGCGAAGGTCGCGAAGTCGACTGACCCAAGAAAAATTGAAACCGAAAATGTGCCTCCGAAGGATCCATGGACGGATTTGTTCAAGGGTGGTGCGAGAAAACTGAAGAAATCAGGAAATGGGTTTACACTTCCTTCAGGTGAAGCCTGTGTTGAAATCCCAAACGAGGTGATTGAGAAGAATCACAGTTCATGGATTAGTTTCATTATTGGCCAGTTCTACTCTGCCATCCCAAGGGATTGTGCACTCTATTGTCAATGGAATCTGGATCAAGAAATTTCGTGATGTATCTGTCACGAAAATGGAAGGGAATGCATTTCTTTTCAGGATCCCAAATGCTTCCACCAGAGCTCGTGTTTTAGCTCAGCGTCTATGGAGCATTGAAGGACAGACCATGTTCGTCACGGATTGGGAGACAGGAGTAGTCCCGATGAACCCGGAGCTCAAATCGGCACCCATCTGGCTGGAGCTGAGAAACGTGCCCCTTCAATTCTTCAATGATGAAGGCCTCGAGCATATAGCAAGCTTGGTTGGAGATCCGAAATTCCTTCATCCTTCAACTGCCAATAAAACCAACTTGGAGGTGGCCAAGATTTTTATCATTATCGACCCAAGGAAGCCATTGCCGGAAGTTGTTAATGTTAAATTCCAATCGGGTGAAATTCGTAGAGTTGATGTTGCGAGCCCTTGGATGCCGCAGATATGCTCACATTGCAAAGAGTCAATTTCTAGTCGCATAGCTGTGGATTCAGGGGTACAAGAAGAGGAACACCTTTTGTTTGGGCATAGCATTAAAAGATGTAAAAAGCTCGTATCACATGTTCCTTTTGTAACTCTACGGGTCACAGCCTGGAGAAGTGCACGAGGCCGAGCTCTAAGCAAAAGGTGAATCAGAATCTTCATTTCCAAAAGAAGCAGGGAGGTGTTCCGAAAGGTCAGTATGTTGCGGTGACTAAGAAAGCTGATAAGTCTTCTGTTCCACCTCCGCAGAAGGATAAGAGTATTGCATCGAATGCTGATGGAAACTACTATAACCAGACTCTTATTGGGGAATCAAGCGCAATGGCTCCTGTGAGCAAGAATCTCTTGTCGGAGAAATTAAAAGCAAAGGTGACTTCTCCCCCTTGCTCGGATGCGGATCCCGATTCGTCTGATGTGGAATCCAGTGACTCACAGGAAGAAGGTGAATTGAGGGATAAGGAGGATGATTTCATTGGGGTGCTGTCTAGAAGGAAGCACAGGAACCCTCGGGACAAGGGTCCCAAAAAACACTAAGTTTTTATGTGTATAGATATTTTTGGCTGGAACGTGCGAGGCTTTAATAAGAATAGTCATCGTACTAGTTTTAAAAAATGGATCAAGCAGCAAAATCCACTTTTTGGTAGTCTTTTGGAGACTCACGTCAAGCAGGCCAAGCAGAGGAAGTTCATCAACTCTATTCTTCCTGGCTGGCACTTCGACGATAACTATTGTTTTTCGGAATTGGGTAAAATATGGGTTTTGTGGCACCCATCGGTTAAGATTTCTATTTTATCTAAGTCGCTGCAGATGGTTGCCTGTATGGTTAAGCTTCTGGAGGTTGCCAATGAGTTCGTTGTTTGCTTTGTCTACGCCTCGAACGCTGAAGATTTAAGGCAGGTTTTATGGGCAGAGCTTGTCGATCTTTCTACAAATCAGAATGTCATAGGCAAGGCGTGGGCAGTCATTGGCGATTTCAACCAAGTTTTGTGTCCCTCCGAGCATTCTGCTTCTTCAGGTGGGAACATTGACAGGCCCACCAGAGATTTTCGTGCATCTCTCCTTGATGCAGCGCTTGAGGATTTATCATTCAGGGGTTGTTCTTTTACATGGTGAAATAAAAGAAGATCGAACCCGGTGGCAAAAAAGCTGGATAGAATTCTTGTAAACGAGTTCTGGCAGTTGCAGTTTTCCTAGTCATTTGGGATTTTTGGCTGTCCAGACTTCTCTGACCATGCTTCGTGTGGCATTGCTTTCTTCCCTGTGCAACTGAGGCACAAAAGGCCATTTAAATTCTTAAACTTCCTGTTGAAAAGCAGCAAATTCCTTAACCTGGTGCAGTATCATTGGTTCTCTTCTAACGTTGTTGGTTCTGCTATGTTCGGGGTTTCTCAGAAATTAAAAGCTTTGAAAAATCCAATCAGATCTTTTAGCAGAGCGAACTTCTCCAATTTAGAAAGCGTACGAAGGAAGCTCACGAGGTTGTGCTTGTCTGTCAAGGGAGTATGTTGCATGATCCCTCTACTTCTAATGCTGATCTGGAACTTGAGGCAACTCGGAAATGGGATATTCTCAGAAAAGCTGAGGAGGCTTACCTTTTTCAAAAGTCTAGAATCACTTGGATTAAGGAAGGAGATTGTGGGTCTGCGTATTTTCACCGTATGATGGCGGCCAGAACTTCTCAGAATCATATTCACTCTCTCCAAGGCGCCAATGAAGATATTTTTGACTCGCAGCAAGCTATCCAGCAACATTGTGTTGATTATTTCAAGGATCTTCTTGGTGGAGAGGTTACCCCCTCAATGTTTTTTCAAGACGATATCTCAAATCTTTTGGATTTTGAATGTTCATCATCTCAAGTATCTAGCCTGGTTAAGGAGTTCTCTAAATTGGAGATTAAGAATGCGTTTTTTTCCCTGCCCAGAAATAAGACTTGCGGTCCAGATGGTTTTCTTCTGAGTTTTCACAGGATGCTGGAGTATTATTGGTCTCCAAGTGATAGATATCATGAGTGAATTCTTTAAATCAGGCAAGCTTCTGAAGCAATGGAATGCCACATCTTTAGTCCTAATCCCTAAGGTGTTGAATGCGACTAAGCTTTCAGAATTCAGGCCTATTTCCTGCTTAAATACGATGTACAAGGTCATTTCTAGACTCCTCACTTCCAGGTTACAAGTGTTGCTTGATTCGGTCATCTCGCATACACATTCAGCGTTCATGCCGTGGAGGCTTTTAACTGAGAACGTTCTGTTGGCTACGGAGATCGTGAAAGGATATAACCGGGCAAACATTGAGCCGAGAGCGATGCTCAAGGTCGATCTCCGTAAAGCCTTTGACTCGGTTAGGTGGGACTTCGTCCTTGCCACCTTGAGAGGGCTGCGTATTCCGGAGAAGTTCATAACCTGGATATCTGAGTGCATCACTACGCCTTCTTTCTCTGTCTCGGTAAATGGCCAGTCAAGTGGTTTTTTTTGGAGTTCAAAGGGTCTGCGTCAGGGAGATCCCTTATCTCCTTATCTCTTTGTTCTGTCTATGGAAATTTTTTCAAGACTGCTCCACTCTCGGTTTGCTTCGGGCTATATTCAGTACCATCCTAAGACTGAGCTCTTGAACATCTCGCACCTGATGTTTGCGGATGATGTTATGATATTCTTCAATGGTAGCAGTTCCTCCTTGCATGGAATATCTGAAACTCTGGATGACTTTGCCAGTTGGTCTGGCTTGCTGATGAATCATTCGAAAACCCAGGTCTTTCACGCTGGTTTGAACCTCTCTGAATCCATGGCTATTGCCAGCTACGGATTCGCCGCTGGTTCACTCCCCATTAGGTACCTTGGTCTGCCTTTGATGTCCAGGAAATTGAGAGTTGCAGAGTATGCCCCTCTTATTGAAAAGGTAGCGTCTAGATTTTGGAGTTGGGCTGTAAAGATGCTTTCTTTTGCGGGAAGACTACAGTTGATATCTTCGGTCATTAACGGTATGGTAATCTTCTGGATATCAACTTTTATGCTCCCCAAAACCTGTATAAAGAAGATTGAGTCAATGTGCAATCATTTTTTGTGGGCGGGCTCTATTGATGGGTCATTTATGGCTAAAGTTTCTTGGCGTTCAATATGTTTACCGAAGAGGGAAGATGGGCTCGGGCTTCGGCGTTTCTCGACATGGAATACTACCCTGTGTCTCAGGCTGATTTGGCTATTGTTTTTCGAGAGCAATTCTTTATGGGTAGCCTGGCACAAACACCACCATTTGAGAAATGAGAGTTTCTGGGCTTTAAAAGAAAATGCAAGAGACTCGGGAGCCTGGAAATCTCTGCTGAAGCTCAGGCCTTTAGCTGAGAAATTTGTCAAATGCAAAGTTGGGAATGGGATGAAGGCCAAGTTCTGGTATGACACTTAGACCCCTTTTGGTTCACTGATTAGGTTCCTTGGTGTGAATGGTCCGTCCAGTTCGAGAATCCCGATTCATTCTTCGGTGGCTGCCGCGTGTGACTCAGTGGGATGGCTTCTCGCTTCTCCCCGATCTGACGAGGCGCTTATGCTCCATTCTCATCTGACCACCATCCATCTCCCCAGTGTTTCCCAGGTTGAGGATTATTTCTCCTGGTCTTCTAGTGGTAATTCCTGCAATGCTTTCTCTTCTAAGTTCACTTGGAGCAAAATTAGAGAAAGAGAAGAAAGGAAGGATTGGTTCAATCTGGTTTGGTTTAAGGGTTCCATATCCAAGCAGGCGTTTTTCATGTGGACAGCTCAGCTGAACAGGCTTCCTACCAGGATGAGATTGGCGTCTTGGGGTATCTCGGTTCAATCTTCTTGTTGCATTTGCTCTGTTTTTGATGAAACCAGAGATCATTTACTCCTTGGCTGCGCCTTTAGTCAGGAGATATGGTCTGTTGTGGAGCGAAGATTGGGCTTCACCCCATTCTTCTTCCAATCATGGACTGTCCTTCTAGCCTGGGTTAAACAACGATCGGTAAGAACCCCTGCTACTCTTCGAAAGATTGTGGTGCAGGCGACTATCTATAACGTTTGGATTGAGCGTAATAACAAACTTTTCAACTCTGTGGCCAAAAGTTCTGCTCAGCTGACCAGGGAAATAGACAAACACATCCGCAACACGATCTTGGCGATGCGTCATAAACGAAACTTTGGAAACTTAATGCAATTGTGGCTTGAGTAGGTGCTGAATCTGCATTCGCGCGTAATATATTGCTATCATGTTTTTTTATTTTATTTTTGTCATGGTACCAAATATGTGAGTTCTGCTCTTTGTAAAACTTCAATTTTCATCTAATGAATATTTACAGTTGTGCAAAAAAAAACTCTTGTCATTTTTCTTCACCAACAATACAGGACTTGAGAATGGACTGTGGCTTAGCCTTATGATCCCCGACTGAAGCATTTCTGTGACTAGCTTCTCTATGGCTTCTTTGCTTGCATGGGGATATCTGTATGGCCTAACCAAAACTGTCGTAACACCAGGTACCAGATTAATAGCGTGCTCCCTTCCAAGAATAGGGAGCAACCCTGTAGGTACAGTAAAGACCTGTTGAAACTCTTGTAACACAGAGACAATTGAGGGAGGAATCTCAGCAAACTCCTGCACCACTTGATTTGCAAGCTCAATTGTTATCCCTTTGCTTCTTACTGATATCGTCGGAGCTAATGACTTAAAAGAGAGTTTAGCCCGATGTAACATAGGAACTCCTTTCAAAGTCACCATCTTCCTTTTGTGTGAAAATACGAACTCGTGAGAATCCCAATCAACCAAGCATTTACCAAGAGTCCTTAACCACTGAACACCCAATATGACATCCGCACTACCCAATTCCAATGAAATGAAATCTTGAAAAAAAGTTAGTCCTTGCATTCCAAACTCCATTTGCTCACAACATCCCAATCCTTCAACCGTTACTTCAATTCCCAACAATATCTGTAAGTTAGGATGTGATGTCATTTTCAACTTCGCTTTATCAACTAACCAAGGTGACACAAAGTTATGTGTGGTACCACTGTCCAGCATGACAATGATAGAGAATCTCCCAATGTGACCTCGTACTTTAGTTGTAGTAGGAGAATCAATACCTAAAAAGGAATTGAATGATAATTCCATTAACTGTGGTTCCACTTCCTGAGTATTTTCATCCGCTTTCATTAACTGTGGTTCCACTTCCTGAGTATTTTCATCTGCTTCCATCATATTTTCATCTAAAACTTCCAGTTCATAACCATGAACCACTGTGAGAACCTACAGTTCCTTGTTCGGACACGGATGCCCTTTCCAGTATTTGCGCTTGCATTTGAAACAGATACCATCTCGTCTCATTGCATCTAATTCAGTGTCCATATAATTTTGTCTCAATCGTTGTTCCGGCTTAGCCACATTAGATTGTGTCTTCTCCACTAGAACTGTGACTGATCGCTGCATATTGTATACTGATGATGATTTGAGAGGCTGTCCTGCAGGTTTTTTTCTGTAACGTGAATCATTCCCCGAAGCTGCTTAAATCACTTTACAGAATGTGCTAGACTCCATCT